ATTTAGCAGTGAAAGTCTAGAGGGAAGGCAGCTAGTTATCACCACACACCGCCAACTCTTGGGCTACTATTTTACCAACGAATAGTGGGATTGACTGTCACATTATAACGCCCCCACGGCTGAAAGGGTGAGCATGTTTGGTGTGACGGAGATTCGAACCCGCGACCCTCAGATTGCGAGTCGAGCGCCCTAACCACATGGCCATGCCGGGCCCTATTATGAATATGGTTTCTTTTTAAACTGTGACCATTTCTTTAAGTTACGGTTAGATTTTAGTTACACATTGTCTTATTGTCGAATGTCAATAAACGGTTACTAATATGTTTTCAAATCAGTCTGTTCGCCAAAATTATGAATTCACTAGAATATTGAATTTTTACATAATAGCTGTAAAACTGTAGCTCACAATAAACATAATTGATTTAATTATTGTTTAAATTTACAATGCTTTCAAGATGTATAGTAATAGTGTATTTTTAACACTAAAATTGGATCTAAAAAGTCTTAGAAATGAAGTGGTATATTAAAAGTAAATAACATCATCGTTTTTTTGGGCAAAAATAAAGTCTATATTAGCTGTGTTAGTCGACAGTTTCGGTAACTCAGTTACCATCATCAAAGCTTATGAATACAGTGTTTTTTTGTTTTTTCTTTTATTCATGTAAACTCCCAGGGCCGTAACAACACCTCACCAACCGGGCATGAATACAGCGTTAGCTTAGCTTATATAACTGTTAAATGGATAAGTTCATTTTTAAAAACAACGTCAGGAGGGCAGGGTAGGTGTGTAGTAAATAAGGGAACATCTAAGACAGCTTCTCCATTCATACACACAGGTTTGTTCTTAATTATAAAAATACTTTCTGTAATTTCCTTTGTATGTTTCATAATATTTTCACATTTTCCAAATCATAATTAGTATGACATTTCCAGAAATGTCCAGCTACAGTTGAAGATAAGATGTCACTATGTTTTATGTCGTATTGGTGATCTTTCAATCTTGTTTTTAATTTCCTTCTTGCTTTTTTTATGCACGTTATACCACAACTACAACTCAATTGGTAAATCCTGTCTTTGTCTTCAATATCTTTTGGATATTTAAGTGTTTGTAAATGGTTAACAATTTTGTTTTGAAGAACGAAAACTGCTTTACAACTATTTAATCGGAACACTTTGGCAATTCCCCCTAAATGACGATAAAAAATGGTATACTATTGAACTTATTTTGATATGATTTTAATGTAGTTAATTTAAAGTATATCATTTGTAGATGTTTGTCGTTCATTTCATGAAAAGCAGTCATAATCTTTATCTACATCTGCTACTTTTAAATATATTTAATCGAAGTTTATATCTATGAATATATGTAAAATCTACTTAGTTTTTAGTTTAAAAAAATGGTCGAAGTTATAACATTGTAGCATGCTGCCAGTAAAAGGTTTTCGAAATACATTGAATTTTAGCTTACTGTCATAGAATTTTATTAAAAAGTTTATAATAAGTTAAAATTTAGTGTAGTTGTTTATTTTTATATTTGTTTTAAGCACAAAGCTACATAAGGAGCTTTCTGTGCTGTGCCCACAAGGGATACCGAAACTTGGGGAAGGCACAGCACAGATACTTCGTTGTGTAGCTTCGCGCTTAACAACAAACAAAATACACCGAATTTTAACTTACTGTCATATTTCTAATGAAAATATCTAAGAAGGATAATTCGTGTTTATTGTACTTTACAGTAGATTTAATTTATTCGTCGATATCATTCCTATACTTTAAAAACTGCTTAAGGGTTTCGTTGCTGTGTTACTACATCACGAATCAACAGCTTTAAAAAAAATATATATGGTACGGACGATAAGTAGATGACATTTAACTTGGAATCTTCAAAGGCATCCATAAATATGTTACTCGAAATATGAGAGAAAGGAAACCCGTTGCTAGACCTTTCACTTTTTGATAAAATTTACCATTAATTTTTAATGTGCAATTTTCACCGCAAAGTCTGGTTCTCAGCTATCGACA